AAGTATTTAATTCTTTTTATTTAATACGTTTATAATTGTTTGTTTTATATTTTATTTAATTTTGAATTTGTAGCCTTTTATTGTGTTTATGTAACTACAAAAGTGAAACTTTATTTATATCATTTGACAATTATAGGCATTATTTTTATTTACTGAACGATTGAGTCTCCTTTTAAAGATGGTAATATAAATTTCTTTTATTGTAAGTCTTCTCTCCTTCTTCTTGATTTTATTTTTCATTCGTTATGCTAATCAAAAATTCCAGATCAAAAGTATGGATCGCAAGAAAGCGTAGGCAGATGTGAAGGTTAAGAAATTTCCGGCAAGGTTTTGTTTTTATTCAAAGCATTAGTTTTCAAAATAAGCGCTAAATTTTTTAAATGACAAGTTTTTAATTTCATGGTTCTTGCTATATAAATACTAAATATTTTAGAAAAACCTGATCTTATAAAATATTCACAGATGTTTAGAAATAAGAGAACACAACTAGTTTCCATTTTATTTGGAAAGATATCTTAAAATTCCAGTTCATTTAATTGTACTAACATGCTTTGAATGTACTAAGTAGGTATTCAGAGCTGCAGGTTTAAAAGATCCTGGGGAAAAAATGAAAAGAAAGGAAGAAACAAAATATCTTCAAAATTAAAAGAAAGAGAGAAAGAAATAGACGGTTTTAGTTTACAACAAAGAATTTAACGAACAAAATTAATTAGGCTCTGTAACCCTTAATTAAATGTAATTCATTAAATTGCAAATAAAATTAATTATCGAACAGAACGTAGGTAAAAAGACCACGGCATCAGTTTTTCTTTGACTTGGACCTTTTTATTTTTTCCTGGGAATTGTTACAAATTTCCTTGGCCTAGTATTTAGATGCATCGTTGTTTCATAAGACAGTTCATGAGGAAAAAAATTCACACAAAAACTGTAAATTAATCAAGAATGAGAAGAAACAAACTATAAATAAATTCTAAAAACAGTTTCAGTCTCTTAATATCTTAATTTACTGAAAGAAAAAAAATATATCGGTTTTACTCCTAATGAGGTGACATGCATCGAGGGTATGGTCCCTCGAGCCCTGTACTGGGTAGCAGCTGCGTTTTGGCGCAATGTCTGCGACTGCACCATGAGGAAACAGCGTCAAAACCTTAAGCACACTTAAGGCTTAGATCAACATACCTTTTTTACGGCCGACCGCAAGGATTTCCAATGCTACCCAGCAATTCTTTCCCTCCCCCGTTTCCTAACATGTTTGAAGCTTCTTTCTAGAAGAAAGCTAGCTCTTCAAAGGTCGTACACGGAGAATTCATGTAGCTAATACTTTTTATAACTTATTTATTTCTGTTTGTCCGCAAAGCTCAACGTGGAAATGAGCCAAGAGAATAATTGTAGAAGAAACGCCGCAGCTAACGAACTAATAGAAAGCACTTAGTTTCGAGCATAATTGAATAAATCAAAACGCATATTATTAGATTCTTTCCCATAAGCATTGAATTATAAATTAACAAAGCATATAACTGCAGTTTCTTCTCAAAGGATCTTGTTGAAGTTTTATGCGGAGTTCTCATACTTTTGCCTCATTTAATATATGTATATCATCTCTTATAAGATTGCTTTTCATAGAAAGCTTTCATGCTAGACATAATCCAAGCACAAATAAATTTATGAAAATATTTTTCACATAATATTAGCAAATATTTTGTAATAAAATATTCTTCTTCGATAATAGATAATGAAGATAAAATTGTAATGATTTTAGGCTATATTTTACATTGCTATTTGGTTATCTGCACTTCAGACTGATTTTCAAATTTATTAGCTTCTGAAACCCTAGTTTCTTTCAATGTGACAACATTTAAAAGTTTTTAATACGTTACAAGTTGGTAACCATGAAAATGGTTTCATAAACAGGGAAATAATTTAAGCACAAAATGTTTATACCATTTTCATATAAAAATAAATATTATAACTGCTTCATATTATGATCAAGTGTAACATATATGTTTGTCAAAATATTCTTAGATTTAGAAATGCCTAAAACTGCATCACAGCGAGTAATTTAAATACGATGAAGCAATATAGATATTAGTAGACTAAGTCATAGAATTTTGCAACCAGAGCCGAAGCGGTAAAGTAGTTGAACATTTGTAGTTCGGTCCAACGTTCGAATCAAGTAAACGGGTTGGCTGAATATGAGATTTTGTGTTTTTCCCCATGTGTAACATATATGTACGAGGCAGTCTCTCTTAGAACTTCCACCACGAAGGCATCCTTTCCCTTAGGCAGATAGCCCTCAAGACGTTGTCGTAATCACATAAACAAACAGTTATGATCAGAAGATATTTCGCGATATTTTCTGAGAGAACAAAATAGTGTTGTAATATTTTTTAATCCAAAAATGTGGATGAAACATAAAGAAGCCAAACAATTCCTGATACATTGGGAGCGGTAAATGGTGTTAATAAATTCAAAATTCTTAGATTAAATTCATGGTCGAGAGAAAAACTTGTCAAATAAAACCAAAGGAACGCAGTTGGAAACAAAGTTTAATTACTATGGATGGATTTTTAATTATGGTTTTCGAGCCTTCATGATAAGCCAAATCGTTATTTTAGAGAAATAGTCGTTCATTGCCTATTCTTATCCAAAATCCAAATTTACATAGGTATGCACGAAGAAGTACAGAAATATACATAAAAGAAATTTAAAATTTTGAAAGATTGAATGGAAAATGTGTAACTAAAAGAAACAGTCAAATATTGATGATGCGTTTAGAAGAAAATCCACGAATGAGAAAGAATCTTTTACATGGAAAAATATCTACAAATTGTAATTTTTTTCAATTACAATGTATGTTACGTAAACGTTAGTGTGATCAAACGTCTACAAAACTATTGCTCCCTGTGACAATTTTGACTCTTTTCTGATCAAAACGGGATTTTTTAATTCGTTTTTGAGAATATGAGAAACATGAAATTTAATACATTCTACTGTCATAGCCACGAAAACCAATCGTCCACCGACCCTAAAAACTGTTGGAAATATGATGCATATGAGATAATTTAAAGCATATACCTAGTTAATAGGTATGAAAACTCCTTTAAATACTAATTACTAGAAACAGTATTACATGTTGTATTACTGCAAAAGGCATTAATGTTAATGAATCTGTATGACAATCTAATCTTTTCAACGTATATTATACATGAATAAAATTTGTGTAGCAAAATGCTTTTGTTTTAAGGCATTGAAAAAGCAATCAAAATCAATAAACTTTCTTAAAATAAATATTTTGCAACATAGACTAAGAGCTTATGGCAACAAGCATTCATTTTTTACTTCCTTGTACGAAGTAAAAAGGAAGTATTGTAATGGCGAAAAGTTTCAGGCAGCATATTTCAACGAAAATATCCATTTTGACCTCTATCGAATGTAATTTAACGATGTATTTGCGTGATATCTGTACGTAAGGACAGAATAAAATACCCTTTTCCTCCCAAAAGAATTATAAAACTGCTTTAAAATGAATTCTGAAGAGAATTTTTCGTGGCGGCTGTACGAACGTGTGTACGTACGTATCTCGCATAACTCAAAAACGAGTAGCCTCAGAACGTTGAAATTTTATATATAGGACTGCTGAACGCTGCTCAAGTGGACTGCCGCCCTTAACTATAGTAAGCCTTACGGTATTTGTTTCCACTTGGCAGATGCTGTCTAATCATGACTCGCTGATCCGACAGCATTTATTATTTCAAAATCTTAGGTTTCATAATCACTCATTATTTTACATAGGTTTTTAGTATCTATAACTGCCTGGTTGTTAACTCAAGTTCTATTTTAACTACTACGCTGCTAACTATACTACACTGGGCAATGTTGCTATACTTCCTTTACACTACAATACTACTTCAATGTTTTACACTAGACCACATTACATTTTACACTGAGTACTATACATTGTAACAATATCATATATAAATACAAGACATAGAAGAATATATTAATGCAAGACATAGAATATCCTATATAAATGCAAGACATAGTAAACCTGGTTATAAATATAATACGATAATATTAGATAATTTTTTCTATCGCAAAATTTCGAGTACAATACAATGCCTACAAACTTTACACTCTAGTACTATAAGCTACAAAAGTACAAACTCGGCTAGAATTGCATTTTACATTGGGTACAATACATTGTGATTCTATTATATATATGTACAAAATTTACAAAATTTATAAGCATTAAAGTCGCATAACCTCATACTACTACTTATACAGATATACCGAAGAATTACTGTAAATACAGTAGCTCTATATCTTGATTACAATTCACACTGTACTAGTTAGCCATATAATTACAAAATTAAGAAATAATATACAATGTTAATCAAACCCAATACACTGTTATTCATTATTGATGCAGGTACCCAAAGATAATACTATAAATGAAAAATGCTAAGGTTAGGTTACAATACACTTTTCAAAACCATTCCTAGTTAGCAAATACAGTGGAACTACCTACAACATGATTTAAACATTGATATTTCAAGCATAAAGCATAATCCAATTTATATTCTGTACTCTAACTTTAAAAAAAAAAAAAAAAAAAATATTCCTTTTTTTGGGGGGGGTAACAATAGGTTATGCCTCCATCTATGCTGAGTAAATAAATAAATATAATTCTGCCAATGATGGAATAGAAACAATTCAACAATGATACAGTTATATAACTAGTAATTTTTACAATACGTTTAATGATTCTTTCAGTTATGAGACTTATTAATTGTAGGGTAATCTAAAAGTCACAAAGATGTGTACAATGATAAATTAAGAATCTATGCACCAATGTGGTTAAATCACACAAACATTGAACAGTTCAAGGTTCTGCAATGGTATAAAAAGCTAATGTTATGTCATTCACAAGGAAGTCTTTACCCTAAGATGATCCTTTAATTGTGAGCGTACAAGGTACAGATGTGTGCAGTAATTGTCAATTATTCTGAAGTGTTCGCTCTGTTTATGCCTGCATGACTCTGTGCACAGTACTTTAATACCTCATTCAATTTGCGTTTAGCAATACTATTCTTGCAGATTGTTTCTGCCCATTGTGGCCAAAATAAATCACTTGGTCTCCTCAGGTGATAAGGTTTGGTGGATGCACAATGGAAGAGATAGTGATCTGGATCACCTACCTCTCCACATTCACAGAATTCTGTTCCGCTTAAGTGGAACCTCTTTAAATAGGTAGGGAATGGTCCATGTCCAGAAAAAAAGTGGGTCTGTGCACCGTTCGTGACTTTTGCTACAGTTCCCACTTTTGGAAAAAAAGAGTAGGTCCTTCTACCCGTGGGTGCTGAGTCCCACCTTTCCTGCCACTGGCATAATAAATTTTCAAGAGTACTTCTCTTGAGATAAGAGGTTGGGAGTTTCACAGGATATTCTCTCAGGCTTTTATCATTTGCTGCCGATTTGGCAAGCTCATCTGCCTTTTCATTGCCTGTGATGCCCACATGAGCTGGGACCCAGACCAAGTGTGGACGTAAGGAGGGAGGGCAATGCAAAAGAATTTTTTTCAGCTCTTGTACATAAGAGCTCCTGCTTTTATTTCCTCTAATCGCTGCCAGGCTAGAGGCCAAATTCACTGAAGATTGTTGCTCTGAATCTAAGTGAATAAACTGCAAATTTAATTGCTGCTTTTAGCGCTGCAACCTCTGTCTGAAAGACTGTATTTCTAATATCTAGTCTTCTTTTCCATGTTTTTTAATAATAGTCTCCCCTTGTAAAGCGCAAAATGCACTACCGGCGCCTCGCTCTGTTTTGGATCCATCCGTGTAGAGGCTGAAGCTGTTCTTTTTTGAAGATGCGTACACAAGTTGGATGCTATCGGACAAGTCTATGTCTGCGGGGTGCCCTAAAAGAACTGGTTTGTGCTTTTCATAGTCTGTGTGATAATAGTTCTGATTCCATAATGTTGCATTCTCATCCAGTCTCAGCACTCTTGCCAATAGGGATTCCCGTTCTGCTTGTAAGTCTAATGGTGGTATACCAGCAAGCACTTGAAGTGCTGCTGTAGAAGTGGTTCTGTATCCTCTGCATATCAGTAATAATTGCATTCTTTGTATTGTGAGCAATAGTTTACTCATATGTGAGGAGATATTTTCCCCCCAAATTGCTGCACCATACAAGATAATCCTCTCGGATATAGTACGATACCAACTTCTCAGAATATTGGCTGGCGTTCCCCACTGTATTCTTGCTGTTTGAGCATGTTATTTGTAAGGCTGTTTATTTTCTGTTTCACCTCCTTCAGGTGTGGAACCCAAGATAATTTATTATTAAAAGTCAGTCCCAAGTACTTCAGATTGGGCACGCATTTGATCGGTATACCGTTCATTTTAATGAACGGGTTTTTTTTTAGGAATACCTTTCCTACCTATGTAGAGCAATTGGGTCTTCGTTGCAGAGATGATCAGTTTGTGACTCTTGGCCCAGGCTGCAAAGTCGTCGACTGCCTTTTGCGCCTTTTGTACCACGTCTTTCCTGCTAGTAATGACTAGAAGAAAATCATCTACGAAGGCTTGTATATTCACATTTGGATTATTATCAAACAGAGTAAAGGCTGTGTTAGCCACCAAATTCCATAACGTGGGTCCCAAGCAGGAACCTTGGGGCATCCTCTTTGCAATTGGTAATTGATAACCCCTTTATTCGTAGTAACCTGTACTCCTCTATCTTGCAGATAACTTCGCAAGAGCTTGATAATTTCAAAAGGGATTTGTGCATTATCCAGGCATTTAATTACGTCTGGCCACCATAACGAATCGAATGCCCCTTATCTGTCATTGTTCCTGCTGGCTTCGATATTCTCCAGAAGGTTCTTAAGTGCCCCCTCCGTAGACTTCCCCTCACAATATAGGACTGCTATAACATGTATATGTGCACCTCGTATTTTGGTTGCAATCGGCCGCACCAAACCTATATAGATATATTTATATATATATCCACTCTGTTACCCGGCTCAGTGATATCAGTTTCTTTACTCTTATATGTTTGTAAATTGTACGTTATTTGCTTTAAAAATGATTGAATTATGTTGTTCTTATCTTCCGGTTAAGGTTTTTATGACTTTAATAAATCCGTATGCAATATTTTAGAATTATCAACAATTTTAAAGTTGTTTGAGTGCCGCTAAGCCTAATAATTTTTTTGATGGCGGCCATTGCTTGTTTACATTTGAAACAGCAGGATAGTGGATTTGTTGCCAATCTAGGGAAACTTAGCTTCGCAACAACAAAGATAACGCTTTCATTTATTATTGCGAATTAAATCATGCTTAATCTTTTCTGGAATTTTTTCGAGGAAATAAGTGTTTAAGATTTACTTCGTAATTTTTAATACAGATATTTTGAGTTTTTGTATATTTTTGCCTTGTCGCGAACTGAGAACTGAATTAATTGAATGAGAAATACTCAATCGTCTGTGAAAAACTGTTTTCTTTTTTTTTTTTTTTTTTTCTTAATTTATTTTATACATCGTTCTAGCTTTATTATAGTATTTGAATAGAACATGTAGAAACGATTAGACAATTCTTTCAATGATATAAATTTTGTGCATTCCGAGTTATAATATGAATCAGAAGAATAATTTTTATGAAGTTTTAAAAATGCCTTACAATACATCATGCAAGAGATGGCGCAAACGCAGCTCCAGTCAACTAAAATGCTTTTGATCCCTACTAATAGATGGCGCCACACGAGCACCTCATTTGTTCAAAGTTTACTTATTCTACGGGCGGCGGCACAGGAGCCTCCGTCGCTAGTAATCTCTGAATTCTAGCACAGCATGTGTACAAATATTTCCATATTATTGGATACAACTTACTCGATTCTTTAAGCATTCAAAAGTTAAGTATCATATATTGGTAAAAGCCGTTAATGGTCGATTGCCTCTTACTAAGTGATAAGACATAGACATAGACATAGTTATAATATGAACGAAATATAATCCTGTTAAGTGAACCTAGCCCCAGAGTGTCGCTATGGTAAACAAATAGAGTGAATTTTAAAGAATGCATTTATTCTATTGTGGTTTATGCGCTGTCGGCGAAATAGATTTAATTCAATCCAATAAGTTTAAATAAAATGCAAGAAAAAAATGCATGTAATTTAATACTCCGTTCAATGAAGTCATGTGGCGTACACATCAGATTTTTTCTATCGCATGACAGATGAGCATTATGCTAATAACTGTCTTCTATTGTATTATATCCTGTTTCTTTTGATACAATTGTTTATATCGCATAACTGAGTACAGTTTTTTAAATTTCTGCATTGGAACCTAGCGTAATACCGTAATTTCCAGCGTATATCTGTAATTTTAAGCTATATATATATATATATATATATATATATATTTTTTTTATTTTTTTTATTTTCAGGTATATTTGCCGTATAACGCACACCCTATTCTTCACGAAGGAGCCTAAAAGATATATGTGCAGTGCTCTTATCTTTTAAGGTCACTTATTAGAAGATTTGCAATTGCGATGAAATTACTGAAAGAGTGTAATACAGACATGACAGTAATTACAGGCGGATTAGCGCCACTAGTTCAGCCTTTACATGTGTGTATTAAAAAACCATTCAAAAAGATTTAAAGCGACTATTGAATACGTGGATGTTAGAAGATGAAAAACATTTACAAAAGGATCCCAAATGCGGCGTGCCAGTTTAGAAATAGTGTATAAGTGGATAATATATAGCATGAAATGAAATTTAACCCGTCATAATTAAAAATCATTTAAAAAGTGCAGTATATATAACAATCTAGATGGAACGGAATTTGATTATCTGTTTGCGGATTATGAAGATGAAACAGAATTCGATGATGTGCCTGAAGATATAACAGAAGATGAATATGATGAACTTTTCATGCTATCCGATAATGAAAATTTTTAAGTTCATAAGGCATGTAATTTCTTTTAAATAAACAGCCTTTGATACCTATAGAAATCAATTTGTTTATTCTCATTTCTTATTTTTAAATCTATCATTTTTATGCCCGGCATATAATCCCGGTTATAAAAAACCCATAAATTTCGATCTTATTTTCTGTATTGAAAGTACGCGTTATAACGCTAGAAAATATGGTCAATGCTGCTTAAAATTAATGAATATTAAAAAAATTAATTCTGAATAATTTAAATTCTGGACGCCATGTTGTGCTTATATTAAGCACATATATTTAATAGTGTGATTTTTTTTTTCCCAAACTGTTTTAAGATAGCCATACTTTACAAAAGCCTTTTTGTAAGTTAACGAACAACAAGACGTCTGTTGTTTATGGGATTCCATTTCTTCATCGAAAGATCTGAATGCTTGCAAGAACTTTTTTTTTAATATTCTTTTCCATTAAAGTTCGCATGAGAAGTGTATGCATATATTTAAATAAAATGCACCTTCTTTGAGCTTCAGTGACAGCATCATAGCTATGACACTGGTTTTATAAACTGAATTAAGTCCGAAGAACTGAGACATTTTTCTTTCGCCTTTGTAGAACTTCTCAGATAAACAAATGGGACTCTTAAGCCATTGAAGAAGTTGCTTCAGCGTTGAAGTGCTTGAGAATCTGTCTCTCTATTGCTGAAGAAGCGAATTCGTTTGTGCGAGTGGTAAGAACGGTAAAAAGGCTCGTTTCATTTGGCTAAGAAGCAGCGATTCCCTTTTATTTTGCCCTTCGGGACATTTCTCGATGAATATTTCATGACACTTCTGAAACGAGTGTGTTGAAATATTTAAAGAGAAAGCCCTAAGAGAAAGTGTTTTTCTTAAGTGACTACAAACACAACAAGGATGTTCGATCGTTCTCCCTCGATGCTTCAGCTCATGAATACTTTCTCCCAGTAACCCCGTATTCTTTTTCTCCCTATGGCATGCCGATCACTTTACTATAGTAGTCCTCCAAAGGAAGTATCGAAAAAGTGCGGTTACGAATCATTTCTTTTTATGCATGCTTGTTCAGCTCGGAAATTAACATAATCCGTTTCACTGAAGTGTGAACAGAAGGATTGTGCTCCAAAAAGTTAATAAAAATGTTCCGCGGTTTGATAAAAATTAAAGTGTTTCCCAATGAATACTTGCTTATCTGATAATGGTTCGTCTTCATCTCTGGAATGGATATAAGCAGTCGATTTTTTATTCGGCACATACAACTCTGAAGCACCTAGGATTGTTTAATCTAGAAAGCATATCAATGTTGGAGAAATCTACATTTGCATTTTGCACATGGATCCTTTTAATTATAAATCCTCTTGCATTTTAAAAAATGCATCTAGGAGCTAAACTTGCTATTCAGAAATTAAATTTTGTTTGCTTTTGTAGTTCTGTAAATAAGCAAAAACGGCAAATAAAGATTAAAATTATTTAATTCAGCATCTAATTGTAAAAAGACGATAGGCAGCATAAAAAACATCTAAAGTAAAGTTTGGTTCAGCTTATTGTGATTCGATTAGAAGTTCTGCGTGAAGCAATAAAACGTTTTAGTTTGGAGTAAGCATTTCTGACTTTTATTTACAAGCATAATAATTTACATTTGATGTTTTAAATGATGAGCACATTGCCAACAAAGATAGGAGTTAATTAAGTATGGGAATAATTTTAATTCCCTTTAAAATTTTCATAACAGAAACTTCTACATTTGCACTAGGAGTGGTTTGATAATAACAGGAGATTAGAAATGCGAGCTTAACACCCTATATGTTTAAATTTAAAATATACGTTTGTAGTTAACCCCCATTATTGTTGGAATATCACATTACGAGGACATGAAATTTTGAGCACTTGAATGTTTAAGTTAATTACACATTAATTTGTTTATTATATTTTTTTATATTTCTCATTAAATAATTTAATTACTCATTTGTTAAAGATTATTCTCTTTTTAATTTGCGTTTAAGGTTTCTATGTGTAACGTGTGTAAGTTAGTTTCCCTTAGTAAGCCCTTCACGAAGACATCCACCACTTTAGGTAGTTAGCCCTTGAGTGCCTCCCATGTTCAAATAAAGCAACCATATCAAACCAACCCCAAAGAATTTCACATAAATATGGATCTGCAT